AGATTATCTGTCTCATGTTGTACTGTCAGGATATAGTGAAAGTTTCAGCAAATATGATAGTTTAACAAGTTGAGATCTGAGTGTGCTGATAGTAATATGTAGCTGTGATGTTCTTTTCAGACTCCTGGATGTTGGAGTGAGGAAACAAGAGAGAAGAGGAGCACCCACCAGCGCTCTGCGTCCTGGGGCAGCGCCGACCAGCTCAAAGAGGCATGAATGCAAATACAAACACATTAGGCCAAACTAGGGCTGTCACGTTCATCAATCAAGTTTGATTTGATGATTTGATGAATGAAAATGATCTCAAACCACCAGTAAACATTATACTATAGGGTAAAACATATGCTCCTACTAATGGGCTGCATGTGCTTGCATATAATTTTGCATATAAATCTTATTGGTAACAGTAGGGTTGTGCGATATGATCAAAATTTTATATCCCTTATCCCTAACGATACATATGGCGATACAGCACATTTTTTGTAAATAAAAAAAAAAAAGTTTATATTTAAAATTACCATATGGAAAGGCCTATTTATTATTAACTTTGAATACTCAATGTGAAAATGTTTTATCAAGCAAAAATATACAAAAATGAATGCATAAAATCTTTTCAATGATTTTCAGCTACGTCCATGTGACAGAAGTAGCTTTTTTTAGGTACAAGCTCCTCGTTCTGTCTTGGCTGTCCTCCTCTTCATAATGAGCCCGTTCTGTGTCACGTTCGCTGTCTTCCATGTTTGTTTGTGTTGCTTCCATGCAAATTTCCCGCTATGGCAGAAGCATGAACTGATAAGTTGTATTGGTTGATTAAGATGATTAAACTTTCTGCCCTTCACCGGTTGCGGAATGCCTCGTATAAGGTGCTATTCTAACCACATTCTCAAATCCCATCGCACACAGACCGTAAATTAACAGTGTCATGAGTCTGGGTTTAATTCGGCACATATTTAATCCATCTACCAGCACTTATTTTAGTGAGAAATAATAATTTATGAAACGGCCCGCCTTATATTCCCACACTTTTCTTCCACTTACAAAGGCTGTAGTGGGTCGAGGCAACAAAATTGTCCAAAAGTTTATGTTTATAGATTATATTGATGCTGTATGGACAGGAAGGTACACCCTTAAGTATGTGTTTGTAGATTAGTTACGGACATGTAAGGCATTGTTAAAATGTCATATTTCTTAGAGGGAGTTTGGCATAACATTTTCCCTGTATGTGCAGAACACAATGAAAAACTTAATATTTTTATATACATTAGTGCAATAAACTTAGATTTATAATGAAAGAGCATCTATATTGGTCATGATCAAAACATAAAAAATGTGACAACCGTACATTATTATCACATTATGCCACGTTGTGAATTGAATTAAAGGTAAATGTATAATAGTTGTAATGGACACTCATCTGACAGAAATAATACAGCAGTATTTTCTAACAATGGACAGATGATGCAGTGCCTTTGTTGACTAAGAAGCAAGAACATCTCATTTTGTTAAACTCCTGTCTCCTCGACTCCTCCACTCGCATCTCTGGTGGGAGGGACTAGAGAGGGATTGAGGATGTACAAACTGGGGAATGAAAAAGGCCTACTGAATCCATGGCCACATTATATATCCCATTTACATCCTCTAAAGCATTATGGGAACTGTAGTTTTAATATGTACAGCTTTAGACTTTGAAAACCCCTAACCCTTTAAAGTGTTACTTACTCATACTAAAAGTCTTTTTACCAACCTTACCTTTACGCCTTTGAAAATCCCCTTACACCGTGTACACACTATCACCAGGCCTCTGCATTTGTAGCAATACCTGTTTCTTACCTATGTTCTCATCTCTCGGTGGCACTGTTGATGATGACATGATGAAACATGGTGAATTGTTTGACCTATCAAACCTACACGCTTTCCATGTGAAATGATAAAACAGTAGTGAATAAAGAGCTGTTTTATTGACATTTTCTCCAGGCTGTAGCGCTTGATTTGGTATTGTGTCTTTATGGTGCTTATGGCAGCAACAGACACATCCTCTGAAGCTGTACCCAGCACGGCACTATCGGCCCCTCTCAGCTCCACCCTGCTGATACTCAGCAGCAGCAGGGAGGTGGCAGATAACGCTATCTCACTCTTAACTACTCACTTCCCCTCTTTGAAACGGCCATAACCCGCTGCAATTTATGGTCAGCCAAGCCCCATCTGGCTCCTCTCCACCTCCTGCACTCCTGCAGCAGAGTGAACAATAAGGGCCGGCCGGATGACAGCTCAGCCCTCGCTAATGTGTGCACAGCCACGTTACTGAGTTACAGGGCTGCAGAGGAGGGGCAGTGCTGGCACCATAACCTACAAGNNGGGGGGGGGGGGGGCTGCTGCTGCAGCTGCAGCTGCATCTGCATCATTTATTATGTTTTTTTAGTCAAAGTAAACCTTGTCTTGGCTCTTGTCATAGTTTTTAAAAAAGTGACTGACTCTTATGCTGATGTAAGTCTAAGCACTAGGAAACTATTTTTTACTTCCTGTCTAGAACCAGGAAGCGGGTGCACATGCCATCACAAAACACATATACTTCTTTTTTTTTTTT